GGGGCTGGATAGAGACTTTTCTTTAACCAGTTTTTACATTTCCAGAGCTTGGTTTCTGGAGGTACTGAGTTCTCCACAATTGGAGGTAATCATGTGGGGGCCGGGGGATGTCCTAAATATCACCAAAGGGATTTATACACAGACCAATGGTCTCGGAGGACATGCAGGACAAGTGATCTGTGTGTGTCAGTTCTCTGTGAGACGGATAACATGTAGATAATATTTTAATGGGACAAAGACACAGAAGCTTGGGGCAAAGAAAATTGGGTGCAAGTCTCAATTCCAAGCTTCAGTTTCCTCATCTACTAAAATAGTTCATGAATAACTACTCGTTCATGTTATTTTGAAGCTAAGTGAATTAACATACAGTGACTGAAACCTGGTAGGTATTCAGAAATTTAAGTTTTAGTTTACCCTGTTTGCAAATATTACCCATTGTAGAGCTAATCAGCTTAATATTTTGTCGTGTGGATGTTTTTTAAAATGTACTTTTCAATTCCCTAAATGTACTTCTATCATGATGACAGAGCTGTGAAATGTAAATGCCCTCTTCCTTGAAGAAGGTCAATGAAAAGAAGCTTTAAAATATTTAAAATCTGGATTAAGATGGGTAACAAACCACAAGTCATGTGTGTGGGGTGTTTTTTTTTTGTTTTTGAGACTCAGCTAACACTAATAATGGCTTTAAACAGAAACCTCATTTACAGTAAGCCAGCTGCAAGGAGTGGATTTCATCACCTACATACCGTCTGTGTGGTCAGAAACTTAATGTTGAGACTCAGTGGGGGAGAAAGAAAAGTCTGAAGAATGAATTAGCTTGTAGTGTCATTTATAATAGTGGGAACCTTTTCTAAGAAATTTTATCTGAAAGTTAAGAACTCCTTGAGATTTCACCATCAACTCAGCATGGCGCTATTATTTTGTTACTGAGACACTTAAACTCTGTTTTTCTTACCCCTTACAGAGAAATCAACAGTTAAAATTAGAGTAGAGTGGAGGCTCTGGATTGTTATTCGGGCTTGGTACTGAGACACCAAAGATTGCTGTAAGCAGCTTACCAGCCATGCATCCAACTTGGTCCATACTCATTGAAGGGTTTATACAGAAAGAATTAAAATACAGCATATGGAAGGTTTTTAAATATATGGCAGAAATGAGTTTAAAAATTACATTTTCCTGTTATCAACAATATGTTATCATAGACTTATTTGGGGATATCTGCCAAATTCATAATATGTTCTGCTCTGAAAACCAGTGTCTTCCTATGTTAGCCTTGGGGTTAGGTCCTCAATAACCACGCTTCCAGTTTGTGAACTTCGCCCATCCCCTTCCCTCCTCACTGTTGGCAGATGAGTGGTAGACTTCAGACCAAATTTCCAGAAACTCTCATTCTATTGTCATAGCTGACTCACCTAGTGTTAGACCTGACAAGCCCAAGTGAATAGGACCTTTCCACCTGAGGGTCGGGAGTAGGACTGAGAGGCAGCCAGGCTGTCAGCATCAGTAGGTGATGAGAACTGGACCTGTAAACGTGTCAGCCCTCAGGTGGGCGTGTTTCACCATGTGCTGAACCATGTGGATCAGAGGGGCCCAGACATCTAGTTTGTAGATTAAACATAATAGACACATATAGGCAGAGAAAACAGAGATAAAATATGGGGAGAGATTCTTGACAGTTTTCTAGTTGCTCTGTCCAGGGCTTTCTTTAGGCCTCATGGGATTCCTATTACTGATCTTCATGCACAAGCTTGTATTGCTATGACAGCCACCCCAGGTGTGTTTGTTAATTTGTTAACTTATTTGTTTATTACTAAAGAAGATAAAATTGCTTGTGCGATTTGCAATCAATGACGCCCAATTAATATACACAAAGGTAAGTAAATATGACTTTAATGGGTCCATAGTTTATCCCAGGCAGAAACTAAAGACTATATTACATGATAAAATTTTAAATAATAGTTACTTTTTAGTATGAATGTCTATAATATTCTAGGTAGTTATGCATACTTCTAAGTGCTGTGGATATCATTTCTAGTATTGTTTTACATATAATGTACATATTATATTATTTCTAATATTAATACAGTCTTATGAGATGAAATGATTAGCCCCATTATACAGAAGGGAGATACAAGCCTCAGAGTGTTTATAACTTAATGACACAGCAACTGACACAGCTGGAATGCAAATCAGGATGCTGCTGTCTGTTTCCAAAGTCAAGTTCACTCTCTCCAGCACCACAACAGAATTTCCTGAAGGCTGAACACCTTCAACCGCTCACCAAACTTTCTAGTTCCCCTATGGTATTTTCTCATTTCAATAAATGACACCTCAGTTTAATCCAGTTGTGTAGCCCAAGGTTCTGCTAACCTTTACTTCTCAAAAACTTCACAAAATTATCCTCACTCCTTTCTTTTCTCACACATCCTACTTATATTCCATCATCAAACCCTAGCAGAGCATTTACACAGTGCACTCAGAATCTTACTTCCTCTCGTCACCCCCGCCCCCGAGCCACCATGTTGCCAGTGGGAGACCTGGCAATGGGTTGCTTACCAGTCACCCTGTTTCTGCTCTTGTGCCCAGTCCCCACCCATGTTCTTCCCGTTCTCCACAATGCAGGCAGAATAAGCCTTTAAAAGCACAAACCTGATTATGTCACTTTCTTGCCCCAATTTTTTTCCAAAAGCAACGTGGATTGGCCTGTCTATCCCTTGACCTTGTCTACTTCCTGCCCCTCACACATCAACTCCAGCTTTAATGCTCTCCTTGTTGATCCCCAAGTATTTCAAGCAGGTTCTGTTTCAGGGCATTTATGTTTGCTGTTTACTTCACCAGGGATGCTCTTCATAGAGGCAGCCCCTTGGCCTAGACCCTCACATCATTAAGCGTTTGCTGAAGTCTCCCCGTCAGACAGGCCGGCCCTGACTGCCTCCCTCCACCTCTCTCTGGAGCCCTTCTCTCCACATGCACCGCTGTATTCATTTTTAATATATGTTTGTTTTCCTTCTCCTTCCACTAAAATGTAAGCTTTATGAAAGCAGATATTTGGTCTTTGTTCACAACTACATCTCCAGGACCTTCAGAACAGTGCCTGAAATAAGACAGAGGCTCAGAAATGATTGCGTGAATGAATAAAAGGGATTAGATACTTTAAAACCTAAGTACAAAAATTCTGATGACATGACTTTACATATTTTTCTTTAACTTACTTTAACAACTACACTCCTCCTAGATTTCTCCTTTCAAAATATAGCCTTTTCCATCCATGTTTCTATAAGCTCTTTATGCTTTCATAGCTCACTCTTATTTGCCTTTTTCTCCAGTGATTTATTCAGTATAATTGAAATGCGTGTGAAAGGCTACAGTATTTTGCCAATCTTATTCTCTTTCATGGTGCCCTATATATGCCCTGCAAAGTATTTGATTAATGATAGTGTTGACCACTATTACCTGAACAGCTTTTCTCTCTTCTAATTTTTTGAAATAAAAATCTAACTATTTAAGCCTCTATTTGAAAGATAAAAATACCACAGTGGCAATGTATATAAAGATGATACAGCAATCCTCAGAGGTTCGCTGAGGTATAGGATTCCTCAGAGATTAAAAATGACTACATCACTCCTGTTGTGGACTTTTAATTCATTCATTTAACAGGTACTTATTTCTTATATACTACACCTTAGGGAGGAGAGGGCAGAACCAAGAGTAGGTTCTGTGTTTTCTGGCCTGTGGGCTTATTTACAGGGGAAAATATGCTTCCTGCTTCTAATTTCAAAATTGCCAGATTGTCTAAAATTTTAAATACTGAGATCTGATATCATAGAAAAGATACTTTAGATGAACACATTTCTCCATTTCCAGTAGAAAATGGATTTCTAATAATATATTTTTCACTGTTACAGATAATAATCAATGTTTCTTATTTAAGCAGTAACATCATTCCTAAAAACTAATATACTCTAAGCTTTAATGTGTTCTCAGTGACATGTGGCAACCATGTTCACTTTATTGAGGGGTTAAGTTTTACTTGGTTACTAACCAGTCCGTAGAAAATGTATATGCTTCAAGTGCCCAGCAGGTGACAAGAAGTATCCTTGAAGAGTTTATACTTAGTAGGTAATCATTCCCAGAGAACACTTAAGAGGCCCGCAGTCCATGGGCGTTTGGATGGAACAAACACCTGGATTAGGAGATGAGTGCACTGAGAGGCGGATGGCAAAACGAATCTGTTTCATGGGATGATCTGGCTTGAATGGATTCAATTTAACATTTACTGTGGGCGCACGGTGGTCACAAGAATGAATGGGGAACTGTCTCTTTGTACAGTTTTCAGATGAGTCGGGGAAATGGACACGGGGATGAGAAGACAGGGTGACCTCTGGGATACAAACAACCTGGATGAAAGGTCCAAGTGTGAATCACGTGACAGAGTGGATGTGAGGGGAGGGGGCTGGTCACAGACACTGCGTTTCTTCTGCTCATTCCACAGTTTTTGAAGTCTGTACATCTACCAATCCCATCTCTTTCATAGAGTGAAAGAGAAAGTATGGATATTTAAATAGAAGACCAGTCACATGGTTATACATTACTATCAAAGTTTATAATATTATCACATTATATTTGCCAAATATTTCTGGGTGAGATTTATGCTAACCTTTATCAAATCCCAGAAGAAGCTTCTGAATATATGATTGATATTATGTTCACAATTTTTTCCAGTTTGAAATAGATTGAGTCTTCTAAAGACAAGAAAACATCAGGAAAGTCTGATTCTTAAAATGCAAGCTATTTAACTGGTACCAACAACAATCACAGCACCTGTAAAATGAAAGCTTTCCTCAAAATGCGAATGTTTAAAAGTACTCTTTAAATTCTGTTGCAAATGACATTTGTTTTCTGCAACAAACACCATCTACTATATTCATGGTATATAAATGTTTTCGAGGCTTAGCTTGTTACACAATTAATTTAACAACCGATTGGTCAAGGGTACTTACATATTCTTCATAAGCCTCATGGGCTGGAGGAGGGGGTGCCCTGTATCCTGGCACAGCTGGTGCCCCTCGGGCTCGTGGGGTAGGGACACCTCTTGCTACAGGGGGCACTGGAAGAGCTCCACGGGTCACAGTGGTCCCTCGGGGAGTGAGAACACCTCGTCCAGGTGGCGGGGGAGGAGGAATGGCACCCCCACGACCCCTAGGAAAAATAGGACACAGAGATGAGGAACAAGCAATGAGAGAAAGGGACTGAAACAGACAAAACTCTCAGCTTACAGCCTCCGTACAATAGGAAGAAACCCAATTAATTGCTGTGTGTGTGTGTGTATTGAGATTCTTTAGAATGGCAAGTACTTTGACCTCCATGGTAAAATAAATTTTGTAAATGCTAGTTATGACTTAGTTGTGAAAAGCAGGTAAAATGCTTGAATATTTTCTTTTATAAAACTATAAAACCAATCCATTCTCATTTTATTCTAAAGTTACCAAGAAGACCCACTTGGGAGCATTGTCTGATATACGACTCGCTGGACCACCTCTGAAACTGAGCTGCCAAATGCAAATGTCTTCTCCACACTGAAGGTTATTGACAGCAATGTGCAAAGTTGTCATCAACAACCAAAAAATCTGTCTGCACGTTAACACTTCATAAAATGTGAAACTCTGACCATGATGATATCATTCTGTGTATTACAGTAGCTTAAGCTTGAGGTCACTTGAAACCGCAACTCATTGTCACTGATTTATTATCATCCATGTAATCCTTTGAACGGGTAGAGCCCCTGATATAATTTATTTTCCTCTGGTAACTATGGTGTTAGTAAAATACATTAGGACTGTGCAAAAATACAAAATACACTAAATATTCTGTACTACAGTGCTTGACACAAAAGTAACTTGTGCTAAAAGCCGGAGATCAAATGGATGCAGCCAACTTTTATGGCATTCCGAGGCCTTTGGAGAGGTTGAATGTTTGTCTGAAGTCTTTGGGCAGAAGCGTGGTTATTTCCCTTTTTATTATGTCTGAAAGGCTGGCCTCTAGAAAGCACCGCTTTCAGCAGCAACACTAAAGCTTTGGGAAAAATAATGATCATTGGGATGTCAACAATCACACTGTTTGGCTGCACCCACAGACGGGAATGTAGGTTATGCTTTCTGCTATTCATAGCAGTCAGCTGGCTCTTTCTTGCTTGCAGAAAATGAGCTTTTACGAGTGAACAGCAAGAATGCTGGTAACGCTTTTAAAAGTTTTAAATAGATTACAGAGTTGATGAATAGAGAAATTATCAGAGAACTTATTGTGAGTCTAATGTATAGAGAACGCTCTCCTAGACTGTAGGAAGGAGAAACACAAAAGGCTCAGAAGGCCAGGCGCCTGCTTCAAGCACAGCATAGCTGAGGAGGCAATATTCTACATTATCATGATAACACAATACAATATTCTACATTATGGTAATATAAAGACACATCTATAAAAAAGGTTGTAAAGACCATTATTATTATTACCGTCACTGGGCCTACCACCTGCTTCCTCATAAGGAGGGTGAGCATATTTCCAGGTTTGCCCAGAATTGTTTTGATTTACAACCGTTGCCCCAGTTTCCTGTTCAGTTTAGCATTTTCACACTCTCAAAAGTGTCCATGTGTGGCTAGTAAATTATATGTCACCTACTTTAAACTGCATTCACAAGTGCAGGGTATACCACTAAAATAATCACAGATATTATAACTTACTGGGCCTGAGGTGGGTTTTTTCCCCTTGATGGGTCAAATCAGATTTCCGAATCTGTAATAAATTCTTCCTGTTTTAAAACTGTATGATCCTTGCATCCCACCTAACTTCTCATTCAATTCCTTTATCAACTGTCTTTAAGATACAGCCCTAGCAACCCTGTCTCCTGAATGTGACTCACTGTGCCTTTTCCCTGGAATATTAACCCCACGTCTCTCTTCTCCAATTCAACGCAAGATTTACATCACCTATTTTTGATACAGTTCCTGGTTGAATCCACACTACAGTATCCTTTCCTTCATTTTTCTCATGTCTTGAAATTTTTCCCCATTTAAGTCTTCAACTCCTTATTCTTGAATCAAACAAAAAAGGTAAAGAGAATTAAAAGTACAAATTGGTAGTTACAAAATAGTCATGGGGATGTACTGTATAAAGAATATAGTCAATAATGTTATAATAACTGTGTGGTGCCAGGTGGGTACTGAAAATATTGGGGAAATACTTTGTAAAGTATGTGATTATCTAACCACTATGCTGTACCAAAAACTAATACAAGATAATATCGAATGCCGACTATAATTGAAAAATAAAATGAAAAAGTGTAATCTAGGCATAGATTTTGCCCATTTGTGAGAAATACTCTTAAATGAGCTCACCAGTGGCCCACTGATTTCAAAATCCCCTGGATTTGTTCACAGTGCCCATTTTACTGTGCCTCCCCATTATACTTAGCACTGTGGACTTCTGTCTGGAAACTGCCTTCTTTGGACTTTGTGACTTTGCTTTTCTCCACATTTCCTCCCTCTTCTTTTTCTTACTCAGCCTCCTTCACTGGCTTCTCTATTCCTGAGGCCCCTTGGCTTATGGGTGTCCTCATTTTCTATCCTGTATCCTCTTTCTGTCCTGGTGCTCCCGGTATTCCCTAACTCGAATTACGATTATTATCTGTCTCCTTCCTAACACAAGCCGTATCCTGGATTATGGGCCTTACATCAGAGGTTTCTTAACTTGTCTGCACATTTAGTTACTTGAAGAACCTTTGAAAATTCCAAATTTCAGACCATACTCCAGGCCAATGAAATCACAGTATGTAGAAGCAGGAAGTCCTCTGACTCCAATGTGCAGACTACTTTGGACATCCCTATTTACAGGCACCATCAAATTCGAAAATCTTGACAAGTCTGTCATGTAACAATTTCTAAGCTATTTTAAAGGTTAACAACCAAGGCACAGAAAGTACAAGTCACCTGCCAAAGATCATGCTAGCACATCCAAAGAGCTAGAATTAATCATAGGAATAATTATGGTCTTCATTTAACTTGGTTGTTCACCTAACCTTAGTTGATATAACAATCTCTAACTCGGCCAGATATCACAGAGTTATCCTTGTCTTGGGCCCTCTTTCTTCTCTAGCATCTAATTAGGCCCTAATTCCCATAAATTTTAATCTCTAGTTTTGTATCTCTACACTTCAAATGGTGTTCTTTTCTCTGCTGAATCACAGACTCGTCTTCCCGCTGGCTTGCCTGCCACGAGCCGGTGTCTCTCTGTCTCTTCTCTCTCACCCACAGGGATGGCTGAGGAGACTTTTTAAAAACAAATATGATCACTCCCTTATTTAATAAATAGTTCTAAGAATTAGTTCTCCTTATAGTAAACAGTATGCCCTTCATGTTTCATTTTCCACTGCTTGCTCTCCCTTAGCATATAGTAGCGGTGTGTGTTAAAGATGTGACATGACTTCATTCTTCAGTTAGGTAATAGAAACTATTATAATATACATGTGATGCTTTGTTCTTTAGTATGTATATGCTACAGAGAATTAGTTTTCATACATATGTTTACTGAAACATAATTTCCTTTAATTAAATAAGTTTTTATATATAGAAGTTTAAAAATATTCTAGGTACCATTCTTTTTTAATATGTGCAACTGAATAGCTTAATAAAGTCACAATTTCATAAATATGTACAAATTACCATTAACATTAACTTCTGTTTTCAAGGGCTTTCTGATCAATATGATTTTCTGTTTTGAGAAACTGTTTCCTTATTCCTTCTTATTTGTGGATACATTTCATTATCTGGTTTGAAATAGAAGACAAAGAGTTCTGCTCCATTTACTTTCATTAGTGTTAATACATGAAAAACGTCAATACAGCATTGAAAGTGAGGTTTAATTTTCAACATTAGTTTTCTTTTCTCTTTATGTATGTAGTTTCAGATCTGTAAGATCTATGGGATATTAAAAACAGAAGCTCTCGGTGAATTCTTTCTATCAAGATAATTAAAGATATAGACCATATACACTATTCTTTATTAAATCAATACAGGTTAACTTTTTAGTACAAAATTTCACTGAAATAAAAATCTCATATGGTTTTCTCAAATATGGCAAATATAACACTACACTAAACAACATTAACAACAAAATATATCAATACAAAGACTGTATAATCTCAAGAGCAGGTTAATGCATTATTTTAAAAAGTGATCTCAATTTCAATGAATACAGAAAAGGAAAAAAAAGTCTCCTCCGTAGAAATAAATTGTCATTTGTTTGAACTATAAAAGCAAGAAATTCATGATTTAAACCATATGATTCAATCATTCGAAGATACCTGCTATGTCATTTTATATCCCATCATGATGAGGTTAGCACCATGCAATGTTTTATAGAAGGCCAATTCCATGAAAAGTATGTCCATAAAAGAGCTATGTCACATTTTTAGCAATAAATAAATGTTTCTGGATAGCATTAAATAGCTCTGTTTTTATTCTTTTAAAGATAAATATACAAAAATCATCTCTAGATTCAGAACATTTTCAGAAGTGTTTCCTTCAGTCAAATATAATGTCAAGAATCTACATATTTTGCCTTTAGATAATTATTACCTTCATATTTTATTTGGAAATTTATTATTCTTAACTTTTTCTGGTAATTTAAAAACTTTGATGCAATTAAGATTTAAATATTAAAATACTGGTATTTTGACAGTGCTTGTTGAAAATATTTGGAGTGTAACTAATAAATAAATTGAATCAGTAAATATCTTAGCATCTCTTCAGCTGATTTCCATGCAATATATAAATAATATTCCAGGTCTACGTCTTTCAGAGATTTGAAGGCCGACTGTAATGGGGTGAGAGAATGACAGAATTACAATGTCTCTGTGTGAAGGCTGTGAGTATTTTTTACTTTACTTGTTTTCAAACTAATGCTTTCTGTTGAAAGCATGACAGAGTACTACAAAACAGATCTCGGGTGACCAAAGACACTGCAAAGTCAAATGTAACTAAACTTTAAATATCCTTACCATTTGCCAAGCAAGAAGTATGCTTCTGGCTTTTTGTATTGCTATTATTTATATTATCAACTTATATATCTAAATTTTCTTTCTTTTCTTTCTTTCTTTCTTTCTTTCTTTCTTTCTTTCTTTCTTTCTTTCTCTCTTTCTTTCTTTCTCCTTCCTTCCTTTTTATCTATCATCATCTATCTCTATATGTAGCTGGTAAGACTGTGACAATTTAAGGGCCACTTAAGGCACAGACAAAATTTATAACTTTCCCTTTACACAATTGGTTAAGATCTTGAACTGTGAATTCTGTAAACAAACTATCTGTGTGACATTGGGCAAATTCCTTACATTTTTCTGTATCTCATTTTATCACCTGTATGCAATATTTAACCTGAGTGTGGAGGATTTGATGAGTTAGTTCATGGAAATTCTTATGTGCTATGTAAGCATTCACTGTTTTTGTGGAGGTGGTGGTTATTGTTGCTGATGTTGTCATTGCTAATTCCCTGTTGTGATCATGCCACAGATCAAGTGAGTAAAAGATTGCCATCCTCACTGGCTGTTAACTTACTTAAAATAAAAACCAATGTACCTTGAAGGCGTTGTGGGGGCTATTCTGATCCCTCTGCCTCTAATACCTCTGCCACGGCCAGAGTCTTCTGAGCCATTTAAGTAAGATAATTCACGTAGTTGTTCCTGACGAATTTCATCATTATAGTCCTAGAAGGAAAAAACGTGACTGATGAGTTATAAAGGGGCAGGGAGTTCTTGGAACTTAACAGAGTAAGAAATAAAATTTTGCATTTATTTTTCTGGAGCCTTGTATATAAAAATTTAAAATAATGCAAAAGTGTATATACTTCAAATTCCTATTTTTATGTAGAGAAATTGAAATTGCTTTATTTATCAAGGAAGTAAGTTCTCAGTAGGAAATCAGATGCCTTTTGCTGGAATGTTACTTGATGTGTTAGCCAGCAAAGGGAAGAAAACAATATAGAACAATATCTTAGAATGTACCAAGGTTATGATTACTAATAAGAGAATTAATGAAAAAAACAACTTGAATGACTGCATGATAACCACATAACTCCTGTTCTTAAAATAAAAAGGGGCAATCCTCAGGCCCAAAGTAGATACTGAGCATGTGTTAAAATAATTTAAAAAATGCAAATAATAGGGGACAGTTTCAGACAACTGGGGAGCTGTCAATCCAACCAAACAAATTGATGGGCAATGTTTAAAAATAAGAATTTTTCTGTGTTCTAGCATTGAACTGACAGAGAGTGATAGCAGTGGCAGAAGGCAAATTTCACAGTAATCACCAGAGATTGAGTCAAAGTCAAAAAGCCTATCTCTCTCCCATATCAGTGTGGAAATGTATCAGTCATTTTAATGACCAAAGAATAGATCTGAGTCCACTATCTTCAAAAAAACAAGTGTCAGTCTTACCTGTTTTTTTCTTTTACTAATAACACACACACACACACACACGCACCTGAGCAAACATTACAAAATTGAGGAATGGTTTATTTTTGTGGATTAGTGGACAGTTAATCCTGTTTAAAACATTTATGTATTTATCTGGTCCACACATAATGACCCTTGATATTTGGTATCAATATGTCCACGCAGATAAAAAGTTCCTGGGTTCAAATAGCTCATAATGCTTATTTATATTTTTAGTTTACAGAATACATAAAAGTAGTATCATTTTTTACTGGCCCAATAATTGTGTTGTGGCTGCAGTTTCAATAATAACCCTTTTGCCTCAGTTTGCCAGCTTGTAATGGTTCATGTGGGTTAGAAACATGGGTTAAGGTTTGGATCTTGCAGAAGAACAGAATTTGTAGTAACCACGAATGCTGAGGAAGAGTTCTGCAGTCGGTAAAGTGCTCAGAGGACAACAGGTTGAGAAATGGGTCTCACAATGCTTGGGCTGCTAATATATCAGCACAGATCAGATCCTTTGACATCGACCAAATGTCTCCATTGACTTTTTAGACAGGACCAAATTTCCTACAAGAATTTTTGCCAAATAGCCAATCTAATTAAATCTTTTTTCCCCCAGTAAACTAATATTTAAGTGAAACGAATCTAGCAGATTCTGTAGTGTTAAGGAGAAGACTGAGAGTTCAGACTAAAAATATTTATAAAGGGTGAGTTAACAGAAATAATATTTGAGCATTAGTTGTGGGACCAAAAACCAAGTCTGTTATCTCAACAAATTATGTCAGTTTAAAAAGAAAGAAATAAACAATGGGACTACATTAAATTAAAAAGTTTTTGCACAGCAAAGGAAATCATCAACAGAAGGAAATGACAACTTATTGAATGGAAGAAGATATTCACCAGTGATATAACTGGTAAAGGGGTTAGTGTTCACAATTTGTAAAGAACTCATACAACTAAACATGGAAACAAACAAACAAGCAATTCAATTTAAAAATGGGCAGAGGACCTAATAGACATGACACTTCTCCAAAGAAAATACACAGATAGCCAAAAACATATGAAAAGATGCTCAATGTCACTAATCATCAGAGAAATGCCATTAAAAGGACAATGAGATATTGCCTCACAATTGTCAGAATAGCTATCATCAGTAAATCCACAACCAGTAAGTGCTGGCAACAATGTGGAGAAAAGGAAACCTTAGTGCACTACTGATGAGAATGCAGATTGGTGCAGCCACTGTAGAAGGCAGTATGGAGATAACTCAAAAAACTAAAAATGAAACTGCCTTATGAGCCAGCAATTCTAGGTATACACTCTGCTTCTAGGTATACATCTGAAAAAACCCAGAACACTGAATTCAAAAGATCATATGCACCCCTATGCTCATTGCAGTGTTATTTACAATCACCAAGCTATGGGAGCAACCCAAGTGCCCATCAATAGATAAATAGATAAAAATGTGGTAGTACATGCACTAGAATATCACCTAGCCATAAAAAGAATGAAATCTTATCATTTGAGACAACATAGATAAAGCTAGAGGGTATTGTACTAAGTGAAATAAGTCAGTCATGGAAATACAAATTCCATATGATTTTACTCATGTGTGAAATCTAATACACAAACAAAATTGAAACAGACAGATTCATAGACACAGAGAAAAAAACGGATGGATGCCAGAAGAAAGGAAGTTGGTGGGCTGGTTGAAAAAGGTGAAGGGATTAAGAAGTCCAACTTGGTAGTTACAAAACAGTCATGAGGATATAAAATGCAGCCTAGGGAATATGTCAACAATATTGTGATCATTATGTATGGTGTCTGGTGGGTACTGGAAATATGGGGGGACTACTTTGTAAAATGTATCATTGTCTAAACACTATGCTGTACACCTGAATCTAAGGCAAAATCATACTACATGTACACTGTAAATGAAAAATAAAATTAAAGAACAATGCCAGTTTAGCTCTGCTTATATGTGTTATAGTGTCAGTAAGTAAAAACTGGGTCCACTCCCCATATACTTCAGTCTAGAACAGGGGTGTCCAACTCACAGCCTGTGGGCCACATGCGGCCCAGCATGGCTAAGAATGAGGCCCAACACAAACTTTTAAATTCACTTAAAACCTTTCTTTTTTGCTCATCAGACGTTGTTAGTGTTCATGTATTTAATGTGTGGCCCAGAGATGCCAACAGGCTGGACACCCCTGCCTGCTTCTAGAACATGATAGGGCTGCACTCAGGGTACAAAGATTTCTAATACATAGCTTTACGTACAAAAACCATGCTGAGTCAAGCAAAAGTACCTCCAAAGCATTTATTTCCTTATTTTTAACATGTTTCTTTTATGTTTATCCTCTTAAATATCTGGTTATAATAATAATGGGCTCAACACAGCTGGCTGACAGAAGTTATATAGTAGGAAATTATAGTTTCTAACTAGTCATGTATTATTCAATTCTTACCTCTGCATTTTCCCATGTAAGCAACAACCAAACTAAAGAATAAGCATATCTATTATCTTATTAGGACCAGGTAATATGATAAATTGCTACTTCTAAGTGAACCGACCAGCCACCATCCAAATGAAAAAGTTCATAATTATCCTGTGTACTATTCCTAATAAGAAAGTGGATCTTTTTTCTTTCTGCTGCTCTGCCTAGAGCCCGGAAATAAACCCACACCTTTATAGTTAATTAATGTTCAAAAGAGGATGCAAGCACATACAATGAGCTAAAGATAGGTTCATTCAATAAATGGTGCTGGGAAAATCGGACAGATATGTTCAGAATAGTGAAACTAGACCCCTTCTCTCACCACACATAAGAATAAATTAAAAATGGATCAAAGACTTAAACGTTAAATGAGAAACCACAAAAATCCTAGAAGAAAATGTAAGCAGCAAAATCTCCGACATTGCTCATAGCAGTTTTTTAAATCAAATATCTCTCTGACAAGGAAAACAACAACAAAAATAAACACATCGAACTACATCAAACTAAAAAGCTTTTGCAGAGCAAAGGAAACCATCAACAAAATAAAAAGGCAACCCGCAGAATGGAAGAACATATTTGCTGATACATCTGATATTGGGTTAATACCCAAAATTTATAAAGAACTTACAGAACTCTATACCAAAAAAAGAAACAATCCAATTAAAAAAATGGACATATTGATGGCCAACAGACTTATGAAAAGATGCTCAATGTCAATAATCTTCAGAGAAATGCAAATTAAAACAATAATGAGATACCACCTCACACCTGTCAGAATGGCCATCATTATTAAATCAACAAACAAAAGTTGGCCAGGATGTGGATAAAGAGGAACTCTTTTGCACCATTGGTGGGGATGCAGCCTGGTGGTGCAGTCAGTATGGCAAGCAGTATGGAGATACCTCAAAATGTTAAAAATGGATCTGCCTTTTGACCCAGCTATCTACTTCTGGGACTATACCCAAAGGAACCCAAACACTAATTCAAAAGAATCTGAGCAGCCCTATGTTCATTGCAGCATTATTTGCAATTGTTAAGATATGGAAGCAGCCCAAGTATTCATCAGGAGATGAGTGAGTAAAACAACTATGGGACATTTACAAAATGGAATAATATTAGGCTGTAAAAAAGAGAAAATTTTATCCTTTGTGACAATATAGGGATAAAATTAGCTCCTGGGGAACAGTATGCTAAGTGGCCCACCCCTTTGCACAACCACATCAAAATTACAACTAAAATATAGAAAAACCATCACTCGGAACTGTTAGAAATTGAGTTGAATGGAAGTCTGACAACTACAGAATTAAAGAAACCACATCCATCCAGACTGGTAGTAGGGGCACAGATGAGGAACAAGCTGGTTCCGCTGGTGGATAAAAATTCATGAGGGATATCTCAGGAGCAAGGAGTCCCAACCCCATACTAGGTCCCCAGCCCAGGGTTCCTATGCCAGGAAAATCAGTCTCCACAACTGGCTGCAAAAAACAGTGGGGATTGAGTCATTGGAATAAACTTCTGGAGCTCCAAGCAGTTCCTCTGAAAGAATCCACACACAGACTCGCCTATCCAGATTCACTCCCTCTGAGATACAGCACTAGGGTAGCAGTTTGAAAGGTACCAGTGATATATAAGGAGAAAATTAGGTGTCTGGCATCAAGGAGAGCAGAAGCTATTGTCCCTTAGCTAAACCCTCACCGCACAAAGCCAGTAAACTGGTGCTACATCTTATACTCCAATCTGGCTAACACTGACTGACTTTGGAGATTCCCAGAG